AGGGACTGTGATGGATTTAACCTCAAACCCTTCCAAGAACGTATTAATATCAGATTCCACCGCTGCGTAAGGCAGGCCTGTGCGAATAAGTAGACAGAAGCCGGGAGATTAGGGGAAGGGAAGGAGTCAGCAGAACGAGGGGGTTGAAGAGCTCAGAGTGGGGGGGGAGGGTGGAGATCATAGGTAGTGACAATCTTGAAGCAGAAACAAGTTCTCGTCATCCGCGCCGGTCGGCTTGCTGTGTGTTTTTTTTTCATGTCCCCCGCTTCCCATTCGCTCTCTCCTCTTCTTCGTGTCAGAGCTCACCTTCCAGAAGCACCCAAGGTCCTGCGGGCTTAGGGGACAGAGGGCGGCGTGCATTACCACGCGGGGGTGGCTCCTGTTGTGCTTGAGGTTGCGGTTCCTGTGGTTCCACCAGAGAAGGCGCCTCGTCGATGGAGGACGCGAAACGAGCTATTGGGTTCTTGGTTGAGGAAGAGATGGCGCGTGGGGAGGGCGCGGCAGGAAGGAGGAAGGCAGTGGCACAAGACACCAGGAGAAGGAGGAGCCCCATATGGCCAGACCCATGCCACATGATGCTGTCTTCGCAGAGCGCTACCTGCGCGCGCAAGCACAAGAATGTGCAAGAATACGCACGTGCGTGTGGATGTTGACGAGGGATGTTGAGAATAGTCTCGTCGTGTACGGGGGGAAAAGGTGGAGTATCCAAGCGGCCTGCCCCTCCCTGACCCTGCCTTGGTAAAGAGGGGGTTTCCTCACCACACACGCCGAAATCCCGCAATCCAAGGGAATACTTCACAACTATTAGGAATATGGGAACTGATGGTGGCGCTCGACACCATTTGTATGGTTGCTCCACTTGAATTTTCGACGCGTCGTCCCAGAGGGGCCGAACACGAGAAAAGACTGCTTCAAGTACTGACCTCCCGCCTCGACACACCTTATTCGTCTGCGTTCCGTCTCTCACATTTGCCGAGGTTTCTCGACAGCTTTCCATGTGGATGACCTTTTGGGTGTGCCCTGTCTCTATGTCATAGCTTGGAGGCCACGCTGGTCGGACAGCTGGGCTAGATTGTGACGGCGGAAACATTTCTCACCACACCACGTTTTACCCACCGGTGCCTAATTCCTCCTTCCTTGGAAATGTGGCATGCCGCGTACACACCCTTCAAGAGTCAAAACGCACGATGGTTGCGTCCCCACCCTCAATGGCTACCACTTCCGATGACGGTACTTCAGCAAAGGAAATGCCGTCGCTTGTTGTGGGAGATCAAATAGCGGCGGGCACGGGGGGGATTAATCAGGCCTTGGCTGAGGGGAGGGGATGGTCCGATGAGGATGTGTTGGCTTACGCTAAAACCATTGGAGACAACCATCCTATGTTTGCAGAGACTCTAGAGGTACGTAGATGACGAATTACTGGGTGGATGGCCGGGTATATTCGCGGCAGCATGCAGGGAATAGGAGGATGAGTGGGTGGGAAGTGCAGCAGCACTCGGGCCTCTGAGCGTCCTCAAAATGGCCGATGTCTGCTTACAGGCATAGGAGTCCACACAGAAAGTTCTTCTATATGAGCCTTGATTTTCTGTGTCAATAACAATACGCACGTACTGTCTCCTTCTCCCCTTTCTTAGGAAATGGACCCTGCCATGGTCGACGCCATCCAAGCCATCAAGTTGGGCGGGAAGAACGCGAAACAGCTGGCTCTGCAGGCGAAAAGTAATGCACGGGGATGGGCATGAAGGGTGGAAAAGGAGGACTCGATGGGATGGCGATGGTGGGGCGGTGGAGTATATGGTCTTGCGGACATTGCTGAGAAGAGGTCTCATCACGTCACTTGACACCCTCCCTCCCTCCCTTCCTCCCTCCCTCCCTTCTTTTCTGTCCTCCTGGCTCTTCCCCCCCCCCTATTTCGTTCGAGCAGGTCACGGAAACGAACTCTTCGGATGGGGCAAAAAGAACCCCGCGCAATACAGTAATTGCCTGCCCTCGTACGACGAAGCGGAGAAGTACGCCCTCGCCGTGCCCCTCCTACCAGAGCCGTCGCAGGCGTCGGGAGGGGAGGAAACACCCGCCCATAACGCCAGACACGGTCAAGAGGAGGAAGAGGACTGCCTCTCCAAAGCGGAGCAGGCCGTGCTCCTATCCCAGATCTACGCCAACCGGGCCATGGCCCATCTCATGTTGAAGTACGTACGGATCGGATCGGTCCTCCCCCCCTCCTGGCCCGGACGGACCCGCTCGAAGCTTGCGCCCAGCCTCTTTCCTTCCTCCCTCCCTCTCTCCCTCCCTCCTTCATCTTCCTCAGGAACTACCGGTCCTGCCAACAGGATTGCACCCGAGCCCTTGCCCGCCTCCCTTCCAACGTGAAGGCCCACTACCGGCTTGCGCGGGCCTGTTTTGCCCTAGGACAATACCCGGAGGCGATCAAAGCGTGCATGGCCGGTCTGGACCAGTGCCCTGCCTCCCGCCCTCCTTCCCGCACGGAGGGAGGGAAAGAGGGGGCGGAGGAGACGGGACAAAATCCTTCGACCGCCTCCCCCCCCTCCCCTCCTCCCTCCCTTCCTCCCGCCCTCTCTGGTCCACCCGAGGACCCGAACCGCGCCCTCCTCCTTGCCCTTCGCGGGCAAGCCGTCCGACGCCTGAAGCTTCGGTTGAACGATCAGAAAAAGCGGGCCCTGGCGCAGGCAGAAAGGAGGGCGGGACGGAGGAAGGCGTTGCGGGCGGCCTGGACCATGTGCCAGGCGCGAGGGGTCCGGATCGGTCGACCTCCATGGTGCGAGGAGGCCCAGGGTGGGGGCGAGGCGCGGAGGCGGGCAGAGGCCTTGCCATGGGAGGAGGCAGGGGCGGGAGGGCCTCAGGTTGGGGTGTGGTCCTTGCTGTTGCTCTACCCCGAGTATGCGACCAGCGACTTCGTGGCGGCGGTGGA